TAAAAACAGATGCAAATGAAATAATTGCATCCATGCAATAAATGCTGAAAATGTGATCGTTTTGCAGTTCATTCGAATTCCATGAATAGCTACGTATGTAAAGTGATTTCTAGCACACACAAAAATTTAATGTAATAAAAAAATTTAGTTCTGGAGCATTGTTACAGCATGAACTAAAACATTGGGGTTCTGAAACTTGCGTCAGGTCGCATTTTCCTTGTCCTGAATTCATGAGAATACCATCCTTCAGCATTTGGCATCCGAAACTCGATATTCACGCCTTCTAGGTGTAGTTTTTCGGCGGTGGGGTGAGTTCTAGGCTTCTATGAAGTTTCGTGATCCCGGATTTGGATTCAGCGTCGATACATAGATATACTAAGTGACATATAAATCCGAACACCCAGTTTAAATGGTTTTATTTTAATAAAATTTTGTATAAGTACTTAATGAAGCATAATAAGTAAATGATAAAAATTTCAAAATGATTGCACTGCTTTAAAGCCGTTTGTCTTTTAATAATGTGTGGATGCACCCCGATGTGCTACGCATTCTCCAACGCGCCTAGGCATGCTTCTGATCAGGTGGTCAATGTCCTCCTGTGGTATCTCATTCCAGGCAACCACCAACTCCTCTCGAAGTGCTTCTAGAGTCTGAGGAGGACGTTGCAAATTGAGCAATCTCCTACCCATCATATCCCACACGTGCTCAATTGGGGATAAGTCGGGAGATCTTGGTGGCCATGGTAACAATGTGACATCATTATGTTGAAAGAAGTCTATTGTGACTCTTGCAACATGTGGTCGGGCATTATCTTGTTGGAAAGTTGGATCTGCCAGGGTGTCCAGATAGGGTAAAAGATGGGGTTCTAGAACTTCGTGGATATAACGCTGCGCGTTCATGTTACCTCTGATGAAGATTAAAGGTGACCTGGAACCATAAGCTATAGCACCCCAAACCATAATTCCAACAGTGTGATGAACATGTCTTTCAACAAAAAACTGTGGATTCCTCCTTTCACCACGTCGCCTTCTAACCCTGGCACGACCATCGTGCATGCCTAAACAAAATCGAGACTCGTCACTAAAGACAATACTGTTCCATTTCTGATCCCAGAGTGACCGTTGTCTGCACCACTCAAGGCGATTACGTCGGTGTTCTCGAGTTAAAGGGAGGACCCAGTGTGGCCGGTATGAAAACAAGCCAAAACTTATCATTCGTCGGTAAACACTTCGCATGCCAATAGGTCTTCCGTGTTCTGCAAACCATTCATTTGCAATGGACCTGGTAGTGGAGAAACGGTCCCTTACGGCCAATAATCTTAGGCGGCGATCTTCACGGTCTGTTGTTCTACGGCGGCGTCCAGTGCCCTTGCTCTTTGCGTACGGCCTTCTCGAAGCCATGCCTGACAACACCTAACCACAGTGTCTACACTTCTTTGCACTCTAACTGCAATTGCCCGAAAAGAAAGTCCAGCTTCCCGAAGTCCCACTATAGGGCCCCTATCAAACTCACTAAGTTGACGAAATCGTACAGGTCTCCGTCCTCTAGGCATCGTAACCGATCGTAAAGGATGTCAAGAACCAAAATCCGCCAACGTTGATTCTTTACTGCGGCTGAAATATTCATTTTTAGAGCGTTAGTGAATTAAAAAAAAGCAGTATAAAAACCGGAATGTCCAACTGATAAGGCTGAAAATTTTTTCACTTGTTATTTACAGTAAGATAAATACATTCACCAACTTTTATTAACATAAAACCATTTAAACTGGGTGTTGGGATTTATATGTCATTTAGTATATATTTAGTTTCAGTTCCCCTGCCTCCTGGCGAGAAAGTATTGTGATCGCGAAAAGTGTCTATATTGAGATCTCATGTTTTTTGGATGTTATATGAGACGTAGATCATCTGACCGCTCGGATTTTGGTGAACTTTTTACACAATGTTACTACTATGCCAAAGAGATGAATCTTAAGATTTAGAAATATCTCCAACAGTGGCCTACCAATCCGTGCGACGTGGTCCCTCGATGGACAAGCGCCGTACGTCATAGTCGAGATTTGCTTCCGCTCTGCTCTGGGCTGCGTGTAATGTGCATAGTGAACGCCAAAGCCAATATCGTCATTCAAGCGGGATTGGTAATCGCAATAATTTCACTCAGGGAAGGAGGCAGTTCATTTAATTTTTTGTTAGCTAACTTTTTTCTCAGAAACACAATCCTTTACGAACTGATGATAGCGTTGCGTGGAAAATACTAAGTCAGCTTACATGATGCCATTTTTTTTTTGTGAAGCAGTGTCATATACAGCTGTAAAAAGAGGGACCTAAATTGACTGTACTAATGCCGCACACAGGACTTTGTTGACACTGGTTTAATTAGTTGAGAAAAGTTTTGTCACCTGACACTGTACAAACGATTTGAAACGCGTTGGGTCAGCCGGCCTACCCTGATTAATGGCTTTACGAAAACTGCGAAGCTGCAGGCTGGTTAACCATCTATGTTAATTTGGATGACTTTTTTGAAGCTTATAAAGTAATTATAAAGTGAGTTTGTATTATAGAGTACTATGTATCTGGGAGGGCGGGGGTGACAATCGATATTACAGGTGTCAAGCCTCATTGGGCCACTAGAATCTCTCTACGAGCTACTTTTTTAACCTAAAGTTGTATACCGATTTATTTTACGTTTGTGTATTGTCTATGATTTATCTTAAAGGTGGTTGTATATGCATCTTGACTTTAGGTACTTTCTTTCGTGCTTGTCTATTTATATATTTTATCTGTTTTATACTAATGTAGTAGCAGAAAATGACTATTTTTTATGCTTTCAATCGCAACATTATCCTCATTGTGTCTTGCCTAATACTCGTATGCTCTAGTCACATCGTACATGTGTCATTTTTATATATGACAAACATAGCAAGAGTACGTTTTCCAATACTTAGTGAAGTGTAATTATATGTGTGTATTAGGCATGACATGTCCTTCTTAAGTGAGTAAAAGGAACAATAAAGTGTCTATCTATCTTAGGACTGGATCATCAGCCAGCACCAACTATCTATTAGAGGAGACGATGATACGAGAGGTAGCTTTGGAAGCAGCACTACAATCCTAGATGGGTTGTATCTGTCTTCACAGTCTACCTCCATCTGGTCCATTCTTCCATCACTTCTGAGCCTTAGGCTCATTTTTGATAGGTCTAACTTAATGTTATCCCTCCATTTCATACGAGGGTGACCTAGATCTCTTTCACCAGCTAGTACTTCCTCCCAGACCAATCGTTGTTAAGTCTTTGAACGTGGCTGTCCCATCTTGTTTTCTTGGGCAATGTGACTGGGTCGCATAGATTCCCAAAAATCTTTCATAATGTCCTGCAGACAAAACGCCGAAGCCCTTCTTCATTGGCTTTCGTCTTCGTCCATCGTTTCACAGCGATACATCACGATGGGTCTCATGACGGTGTTATAGATCCTGATCTCAGAATAGAGTGCGAGATTTCTCGTCTTGATAAGAATATTTAGAGAGAACTTGCACCAATCCGTAGGTTGAATTCTGTCTTTGATCTCCTCAGTGATGTCATTGTTGGCAGTGATCGTTGCTCCAAGGTTGCTGAGACGCTCAAGTCTCTCGATATTATAGTAGAATATTGTTTAATTTTGCCCCAATATGTCTCTTCTTCCTTGCCTGTAGACTTATATGTATTTGGTTCTATACTAAGTGACATATGAATCCGAACACCCAGTTTAAATGGTTTTATTTTAATAAAATTTTGTATAAGTACTTAATGAAGCATAATAACTAAATGATAAAAATTTCAAAATGATTGCACTGCTTTAAAGCCCTTTGACCTTTAATAATGTGTGGATGCACCCTGATGTGCTACGCATTCTCCAACGCGCCTAGGCATGCTTCCGATCAGGTGGTCAATGTCCTCCTATGGTATCTCATTCCAAGTAACCACCAACTCCTCTCGAAGTGCTTCTAGAGTCTGAGGAGGACGTTACAAATTGAGCAATCTTCTACCCATCATATCCCACACGTGCTCAATTGGGGATAAGTCGGGAGATCTTGGTGGCCATCGTAACAATGTGACATCATTATGTTGAAAGAAGCCTATTGTGACTCTTGCAACATGTGGTCGGGCATTATCTTGGTGGAAAGTTGGATCTGCCAGGGTGTCAAGATAGGGTTAAAGATGGGGTTCTAGAACTTTCTGGATATAACGCTGCGCGTTCATGTTACCTCTGATAAAGATTAAAGGTGACCTGGAACTATAAGCTATAGCACCCCAAACTATAACTCCAACAGTGTGATGAACATGTCTTTCAACAAAAAACTGTGGATTTCTCCTTTCACCACGTCGCCTTATAACCCTGGCACGACCATCGTGCATGCCTAAACAAAATCGAGACTCGTCACTAAAGACAATACTGTTCCATTCCTGATCCCAAAGTGACCGTTGTCTGCACCACTCAAGGCGATTACGTCGGTGTTCTCGAGTTAAAGGGAGGACCCAGTGTGGCCGGTATGAAAACAAGCCAAAACTTCTCATTCGTCGGTAAACACCTCGCATGCCAATAGGTCCTCCGTGTTCTGCAAACCATTCATTTGCAATGGACCTGGTAGTGGAGAAACGGTCTCTTAAGGCCAATAATCTTAGGCGGCGATCTTCACAGTCTGTTGTTCTACGGCGGCGTCCAGTGCCCCTTGCTCTTTGCGTAAAAGTCTAAAGTATCGGGAAGCACTGCTGTGAATTGTTGAGTCTTCCGTCAGTCAGTGTTAGCGAAAAACTGACACCAGATTCGTGCTCTACGCACTCTACCTAAGAAATGATTTAGTGTCTAGATTGCAGATAGTAAAAAAATGGTGACAACTAGGTTCTTGTTACCAAAGGAGGTGAATTGAACACAATAAATGCCGCTTGTCTGGATATAAAACAATTCAACGTTGTAGACATTTTAGCTGACAGCCGCCTGCTTTTCGTAACACTGACATTTTTTCCAGGCATCATCAAAGGCGACGAAATAATGGTAATCAACGGCGCCATAGTCTCAGACCTGGACATGATGTACCTGGAGAGCGTCCTTCAGGAAGAACTCGCGCTGTGCATGATGATGCGATCCTCAAGAACTGAACCTCCTGACGTTGGAGGAGGTGGGCCTCCCGTTTGCTCCACCGGAGGTCCAGCGATCACTGGAATCCTCCACGCTGCTACTGATGACATTATTGACAGTTTGGTATGTCCTCCGCCACCCACGGAGCCTCAGGCTATCTCGGAAGAGATGATTTCTGGATTGATAGTACCAGCACCAGGTGAGTAGTTTTCCGACTTACTGTGAATCTTTTTAACAAAATTGGGACAACAATATGGCAGATTTAACGAAACAACAAGTAGCGTGGTGAAATATTTTAAAGGAAAAATTTTGAAATTTCCAAAGTTTTCGAAATTTTTTAAATTTCCAAATCTTTTAAAATTTCAAATTTATTGTAAATAATAATATTTAGAGCTGTGAAGATTTTAAAAGTTTCCAATTTTCAAAATCGACAAAATGTTCAAAATTTTCCAGTTTATTAAATATATCAAGGATTGTTCAAATTTTCGGAAATTGTCAAATTTTGAAATTTTAATTTGCCCAAGACTTCAAAATATTTAATATTTTCAAAATTTTAAAATTAACTGGTCTTGGTCTACCTGTTACTAGGAAAATTTTCTTATTTTTAAATGAGCTATATAGTCAACGCCAAACAAAGTGGCGTGCACGTCATCAAGGTGGGTGTGTTGAAAAATGTACATTGTTGCCAAACTTTTTGTAAAATAATAAAATTTATTATTTACATATCTAGGTTTATAAGCAATATTAACCTCAAATGAGAACAAAAATAATAGTATAATAAAATTATAGATCTGTACTTGCATAATCATTAAGTATGACAATTATTGATCAGATGACACTATGAAACTACCATATTTAATTGATAGCTTAAAGGTACTGAATAAAAATCCAAATGGGGTCCTCCAAATTTTATGCATGGTATTTATTTTACAGAATTCATACACAAAAATGCATTCTAAAATTAGGTAAGCTACTGGTGTAAGCTTTTTCTGTACAATAAAGTTAGTCGGAGTTTCTTTCTTCAGCGCTGTCTGAATCTGAATCTTCATCACTCTCAAAGTTGATTATTAAAGGTTCGATGTCTGGTCGATCAAAAATTCGTTCTCTTTCATACCATTTAAAAATTTCTTGCTCAGTATGTCGAACACTATTTTTCCACATGTCTGGGGTAACCGTTTGTAGAGCCTCGTTCCACATATCCAAACAGTCTTTTTCACAGTTACCATCTCTACCAATATGTCTGTTATAGTAACCTTTTTCTATGCCCCAAATTAACTCAATAGGGTTAAATATACAATGGTAAGGAGGCAGACGAAGAACTTTGTGCCCATGTTGTTCCGCCAATTCATCAATCACGTATATTTTAGGTGGTTTGTTTCTAAAAAAGCAGTTATTTTAAGAATAGGAATAAACAAAAGAAATATAAACTGTCGACCAAAATATATATAATTAAGAAGCATTATGTACCGAGCAACAATACTCAATAGCTCTGTTTTAAACATTGTGTTTAAAAATGGTATGTTTTGATTTGTCAACCAGTCTTGGATATTTTTTTTGTCCATGCATTGTTGGGCTTAATATCATGCTGTGATAAGGGGCGTTATCCAGTATAATCATAGATGGACTCTCCAATTTTTCTAATAACTGATGTTGAAACCATTTCAAAAAATTGTCCTGGTTCATCTCTCCATGGTAATCGCTCAATTTTGTTTTCGAAGAAAATATCGCTTCACTACCCTCAATAAACCCATTTTCATTTCCAGCATGTAATATAATGTATCTAAAATATATTAGTTTTAAATTTTATAGTGCAAATTGTGTAAAAGTACATACCTTTTACCATCTGTTTTAATAGCTTTCACGCTTTTTTGGTTTCCATTTTGCCAAGAGCGACCTATGGTCCCATTTTGAAATATCCAAGTTTCATCGAGGAAGACAAACTGGTATAAGGCCTCAACCTTGGCTTGATTGTATTGCCTTAGAAATTCCACCCTTTTCAAAGCTATACTTGGTAGTTCCATGAGCCCTCGTCGCGGATTGTCCTTAAGCCACTTAAATCCAAGATCTCTAAGCAACCGCCTTAAAGACGTGGCACTACCATCAAATAATGCCCTATCTCTTAATCGAGACCATAAAGTTTGTATCGTAACTTGTTCTTCTGAAACCATGTGTAATATGACATTATAATTTAGTTAACAAATTAATGCAAATTTCTGATAAGTTATTATAATAAGATCTTACTTTTGTGATACATATTATAGATCACTTCTCGAATGGCACTTGTATCCAATGTCGCTGTGTTGGTTACACGTTTAATATAACTCCGCTTTTTCTTGGGCGATTCTAAATTTGCATCACTTTTCACACCCTCGGAAATACGACTAACTGTCCTTCAACTAATTTTTAAAGCAGCAGCAACACGCTACAAAAAATGAAATAAAATTTCACTATTATTAATATACATTACATATAATCATTAGTAACCTACCCTTGAACAGCATTTAAAGGCAACAAAGGCCCGTTGTTGTCCCTTTCTTGCTCAAAGTAGTGCATTAACGAGGCCACGAGTTCCTTACACCGACTATTTAACTGTTTGGGCATCTTCATATACCAAAATTGCCTTTATCTACTCGTAAAATGAATAATTTTGTTTTGAAACAAACAGTTGTTGATTTACAGTATGCGGGGCCAAAGGATTTATAAAGATTTGAAATGCCACAAATTGATTCAGTGTCAAAATTAATACAAATGTCAGTTCCCAGTTTAAATAAGTTTCAAGGTGACAATGTGTCAACGCTGCGAAATCGGTTTAGTGCGTTTACATGTCGATAAGTGATTGGAGCGTTTGCAAAACATTTTATTTCGCATAATACATCTAAATTTATCAGAAAGCAACTTATGTGATATTTTAATAACAATGTTTATATGACTATTAACCATAATAAGAGAGTAATGACCATTTTACAATTTATATATCACATTAATATGAAACTACAATAGAGCAATTGTTTGTGATAGAAACCTAGGCATTAGGTCGGGGAATTTTTATCGTGATGACGTGCACGCCACTTTGTTTGGCGTTGACTATAGATACGTTATGTGACGGTTGGTACCAACTCTATTCATAGTTTGCACCCCAACAATCTTGTTCTTTCAAATTAAATCTACATGTTATTCGATGAAAAAAGCTTTGGAACTGTCATAGACACGTTTTCTACGACTCTACTTGTCAACATAGCAGATATTCAAGCTGTCAAACTCTGTTTTTCTATAAAACACCATTAACTCAACTCAACAACCAATAACCAAAACCCATAAGTATGTTACGTTATATCAATCTTGTTCTAATCTGATCTAAGCGAATGTGTAATAGAAAGTAGGGAATTCCATTTGAGAAAATTCCTTGTTACCTGGTTTAAAATTGGGACACCCTATATAAATCTGAATATTTAAGAAATATGCCTCCAGATACCATACAGGGTTTGCTGGCAGCGCTGCATCGACGCAGAAGGAACCTATTTTGAAAGTTTTTAAAGAATTGTAACGATTGGCTAAATAAATTTTTTTTTAACGGACTCCGCCCTATTACTTACCGGACAAACCCTGTATATAAATAATCCATAAGGTTTTACTCGAATATACTCGATCCTCGCACGGTTATTACAGCCTGTTGTTAGTTCCACTCAAAAGATGCGCGGATTTTTTCCGGTCGTCTTCATTCCAAATTGTTCCAGGTAAAGACCGGTACTCGACCGACAGCGAAAACCCCCCCTCCTCCATGACAGACTCTGGCATCAAAGTGAGTTCACGCACCAACTCCTTCGAGATCGAGAACCTGCTGAAGAGTGCCGAGCAAGTGACCGGATTCTGCAGATCGCCGGTAGAGTGTCGCAGGAGTGCGACAGGTGGCGCTGGTAGTCCGACCGGCAGTGTCGTTAGCAATGCTTCGCAGGTAGCGCCATCTAGGCAGCTGTCGGATGCGGAGAAGCTCCGGAAGGTCATTTTGGAGCTGGTTGATACAGAGAGGGCGTACGTCAAGGTAAGTTAGATGTACAATCTCACCTTATGTTAAACAGAGAAACCTTGTCGATCAATCAGCATGACTTCGACGATAAAGAATCATGTATCGCTAGCCTTGATTGTTTGACACAAGCAGTTTGTGAAACTTTGGATGATAGCGGGCAGGTTGATGTTTACATGAACATGGAAAAAGCATTTGATAGAATATACTTACTCGTACGAGGGATGTCATTTAGGTTTTGCATATAGAAACATAAATCAAATTCAAGCGGATAACCAAATGGAAATGGTATTTACCATTTTGGGTTGGTATTTACCAATCCGTTCAAGCGAGTGTAGTTATCAGTTTGGTTATAAGATCCGTGACGTCACGAATCAGCTGTTATATGTCATAGTTATCACCGCAAAATTGTGGTATTTACCCAACTCCAGAGTAGTTTTATATTTCTGGTTATTATTTGAAATGTGACAAGTTAGAATTTTGCCGGGTATTGGATATTGTTATTGTACTTCAGCTTCATTTTTGAGAAAATGATACAGGCTGACTTCAGTTTTACCATAAAGTGGAGCACCTTATTAGTTATACTCATTACGGTTGTTGGGGACACTTTAAATGTAGTTCCTATGCTTAACAAAGTATCATTTGTAGCCATATAGCACAAGGATATTAAAATATGGCCATATAAACTCACTAGATGATATCCACCTGTATACGGTTTTGCTAATTTCTTTTTTCATCATTTCTGCTGAATCAATAAATGTTTTCTTTGACATGCGGAAAAATTTAGAGAATTGAAAGTTATCACAGCTACAAAGCCATGGTTCCATCATTAAAAAAAATCTGAAAAAAACATTTCTCCCATGAATATTAAGAAAGGTTTCTTATTTAAACTTTCCATATACAGTTGTAGACGAAAAAGCACCGATTATTAAGTGATAATAAAAATAATCAGAGATTATATACGCGCTTTTCTAAAATAAACAACTTGCAACAAAACCGCGGTTAAAACCAACGCGTTCAAGCGATTCGTGTAACTGACGTCATCAACCCGTGTGTCATCTTGAACCATATTATAACCGCGGCACATAACACAGAAATTTTGGTTATTCGCTTGGATTTGATTATAGTAGGCCGCGCGGATCGAACGTCAGTAGTGAATCTTAACCTTACTGTTTAGTAAACTTAAATTCAAAATTTCACAACAATACGAGCAGTGTTCTCACCACTCACCAAGTCATTAGAAAAATGGAACTCAACCGAGAACATTTTCGCGCCATAATTTATTGCACTTTCAGAGACAATTATCGCAACAAGAATGCCTTGCTGAGTTACTGTCTGTTTTCGGCAATGAAGCGCCACATCAGTCGACAATTTCCCGTTGGTATGGAGCATTCAAACGTGGAAGGGTGAGTCTTAGCGACGATCCCAGGGTGCGCGCACCAAAAACGGCAGTCACCCAGGAAAACGTCGATGCTGCGCGCAAACTCATCATTAAAGATATACATGTGACATATAGCGAGATTGAGGCGTCCTTGAAGATCTCAAAGACCTCAATTCAAAAAATTTTACATGAAGAATTAGGAGTAAGAAAATTAGATTCTCGTTGGATACCCCACCTGTTGACTGAAGAGCAGAAAGCAGCCAGGGTTAATTGGTGTCAAAAAACGCTTGACCATTTCAATTCCGGAAACTCAAAAAATGTGTACAGCATTGTTAGTGCTGATGAATCGTAGATTTACTGTTACTAACCAGAAAATGAACGACAGTCGGCTGTTTGGGTGTTCCAAGGTGAAGAAAAGCCAACAAAAGTCATCCGTTCTCGAAGTGTTTCGAAAAAGATGGTCGCGACATTTGTGTCAAAAACGGGTCATATTGCAACAATACCTCTTAATCAGCAAAGAACTGTTTCTACGGATTGGTACTCCACCATTTGTTTGCCAAAAGGCAGTATTTAACGAAAGAAAACGTGGAATTATTGGACCATCCTCCTTATAGTCCCGATCTAAGTCCTAACGATTTCTTTACTTTCCCGAAAATTAAAAACAGACTGCGTGGTCAAAGGTTCCAGTCGCCAGAAGAAGCAGATGACGCATTCAAAAATGCCGTTTTGGATATGCTAGCCAACGAGTGGAATAAGTGCTTCGCAAATTGGTTCGAGCGCATGCAGATGTGTATTAATCTTCGTGGAGAATACTTCGAAAAACAATTAAAGTCATTTAAAACTACTTCCGTGTTATTTTATTTCCATATGCAAAACTTAAAAGACATCCCTCGTATTTAGGCATCGTATTAAAAAAAGGCTTAGTTCTTTTGGGTTCTCTGATGATCTTGTATCATTATTTAACTCTTATCTTAGGATAGGACTCAGTGTTTTGAATATGAAGGATACCGTTTAACACTTATAAGGCCTTCCATCCATCCATGTGTGGACGGAATATTACTCATAAACAAATACATTTTGGGAAAATCTATTTATGGCATACAAGGCGGTAAAAAACGCGAATTGTACTTTTTTCAAAAATTTTATCACCTGGTATATTTGTGCAAGTTTGGATTCAATTTTTTTAAGCTTTTTTTTGTGTAAGGTCTGATTCAGATAAAATCAGTAGATTTTGAGTTATTAAGCTTTTGTTTCACATCCCTCAGCATGTGTTCCCTTATATTCAGAAAAGCATCCTTAATCCTTTCCTTCATATTTTCAGGGGTAGATGGTGGATATCTATAAACCTCTTGCTTAACGTAGCCCCATAGAAAGAAGTCCATCGGTGTCATATCTGGTGATCCAGGAGGCCAAGATATAGGCCCATCACGACCGATCCCACGATTGTTACTCCAGGTGTCCAAATAAACTATAACTATCTAAAACTGTAGTGACTCATCGATGTTCACGTGAACATCACTTAACTACCAGTAGTCGACTGTTCATAGGCGGGGTATGAGTGTTTAACATGGGTGAACTAGATTTGTCACATGCTTAATAAAGAGTGGTTTGAAACATATTGTAAGTCAAAAATTTGGAAATTACCTTTATTCATCGTCGCTTCCACTTACATCTGACAGTAATAAACTGTCGCTATCGCCTTCCTCGTTGAAATTGACTATAACTGGCTCTATGATGGTGTCGATGTGGTGGTCAAGCTGCCACATTTTGGTTTCTTCCTTCACAACATGACGGATAGCATTCTGCCAAGCTTCGGGCGTTACTAGCTGTATAGAAGTCTCAAATAAAACCTTAACGTCTGGTAATTTGAAGGTTGTGTTATGGCGCGCAATATAACCCTTCACTTGAGTCCAGATGAGCTCTATTGGGTTCAGTTCACAGTGGTAGGGCGGTAACCGCAGCACAGTGACACCACATTGACGGGCCATCTCATCAGTCACGTAACTAATGTTCGCAGGTTTGTGCTGTTTAATTTTTTCATACAATTCCGCTTTCACACATGAATCGTCAAACGGGATTCCTTTTTCGCGCAACCATTGCTGCATGTCACTTTTTCGAGATCCCATAGGCGGTACTCGTTCGGCTCGACGACTATGGTAGGAAGCATTATCCATGACGATCACAGAGTTGGGCTCAACTCGCTGAAGCACCCCTTGAAACCAGCTCTCGAAGCAGCTGGCATTCATTTCGTCATGGTAATCACCTCATTTCTTAGAGACGAAAATCAAGTCACACTCTTCTAAAAAGCCACTATCGCTACCAATATGAGTTAGATCAATCTTTGACCTTTCCCTGACGGTCCACGAAGACCTGTTGACAAACCTTCAATGCTTGCTTGTCGGTTACTCACTACGTTTTTGTCTATCCAGGTTTTTTAACTGTGTGACCTGCATTTACCCATGTCTCGTCCAAATAATAGATTTTTCTGCTTTGTCGCCTATATACGTATTCAATCATTTCGCGTAGGTATTTTCGACGCCAGGCGACTATTTCAGGTCTCTCTATCAACACTGACTTCCGATTACGCGTTTCGTAACGAAAATTAATTTCATGCAGGGATTTCCTCATTACCTCGACGCTCATTTGGGGTATAATTTCATTTTCCTTGATCGCTGCATGTACAGCCTTGAGGGTTGGTATCTCATTCCTAAAGAAGAATGAATGTACGGTTCGCCTTAACGCCATTTTGCTATCGTCATCCAATTTAACGGCCTTTCGTCCCTTCAAATTAAACTTTGGATCATTAGTAGCTCCAGTTTTCTTCTTTTCATGCACCACCCTGCGAATGGTCCATTCTGGAACGCCTGTCATACTTTCACAACGCGCGAGTGCATCTCCCTGCGACATAGTTCTGTTCAGATAATTGAACACGTTGAGCACGATTTCTTTCGCGTCCCTCTTCAGTGCTTTACGAAGCCGTCTACTTGTTCCCTGGCTTTCAGTACTTCCACTCGTACCATTTGTACTCTCCATGGTTAAGTATAACCAAAACAGTAACCACAGAAACCACAACAATAACAATCACACAACAATTCTTATAAAAACACGCAATATGCGATCGCTCAACGAAACACGTTCCAATGCGTTGCCGACGCCTATGAGTCTGCCGGTCGAGGCGCGTCTTTGATTTCATTGGTTCTACCGGCGGAGAACAATCAGCCATTATTTCCATCTCTGTCTGTGCTGTTGACCACCGCAAAGCCACAGAAACGACATATGTCGTACGCTATACGGCTGTACTGGAAGGAAGTCGGGATCGAGCTCTGATCACGTGTTGATCACGCGTATGAGTCATTACAGTTTTAAATAGTTGTAGTATAGTTACGCACACGATTATGATAATGCGCATTCTACTAAATTCCATTCAAGCAGCGAAATCCTGAAGATGAAGCCCTTGATGCGAGCATAGGTGATATGGATGGTACCTATGCTTGTGAATAATCCTTTGGACAGAAGTTCTGCATGTATCAGTTTCTGCTCCAATTTGCCGTGCACTTAAATGGGGATTTTCCTGCAATTTTAATAGAACCTCCAACTGATTCGCCTCATTGGTGACACTTAGATTATTTATACATTT